CTGGAAGAAGAAAAAGGAGCACAGAGGTTGGCACCGCCAGAATGCTGAGTCCTTGGCTGGAGGTGGTCTAGGCCAGCATCTCCTTCCCTGAAGAGCAACTTTGAACCAGCTCTGGGAACTAAAAAGCTGACATCTTTGCTACAGGAGCAGCCTTTCAACAGCAGCAGCAGAGACAAGGACTCTCATCCTACCTACTCTTTACCAGCAACATCTACAGGAGTTGGTAGGATGTTGTGGGCTTGAGGAGCAGGGCTACCCTTCCAGGTTCTGTTTCTCTATTGGCTTTGCTCATCCCCCAGTGCTCCCTGCTTGTCCAGCCATGCCCCAGCTCAGCAGACCCCCTGCTCACCGAGGAAATCGTCGGCCGAGAAGTGGTCAGCATCCCAGACCTGCAGGGTGAGGCGAGCTGGGATCTTGTACTCGGTCTCATCCCAGGAGAACATGGACTCCTTCTTGGAGATGACGATCTTCTCCTCCGCCATCAGGTAGTCAAAGGGGAAGATGTAGCGCCAGTTGAAGTTGCCTTCACCAGTGAGTGAGTGGTAATGGACATCCGTGTCTTGTTTGTCCTCCTGCTGACCCTTCAGCCACCTGCAGGGCCCAGAGGGGTGAGAGGGGTGGCAGAGGTTACAGGAGGGAGGAGAGGGCAAGGGACCATCCTGTCCATGCAGCCAGGATGTCTCCAGGACAGAGTGGAAGGACTTAAAAGGCATGAGCAACAGTCTGGGGGTGCACCACAGCAGTATCTCCAAGGGGCAGAATGGGCACGGGGGCAGGAGGGCCCTAGAGAGAACAGAAGGGTTGGAGAGCAAGAAAGGCAAGTGGCTTGTCAGGGGTCTTTGGGCAGGGAGATGCTGAAGAGGTGGGCAGGAACAAGGAGGATTGCTGGGGAGTCCGGAGCCCAGCATGCTGGAAGGATGTCCCCATCTAGCACTTGTGGAGCAGACCAGCCCTGCAGACCTTCTCGCTCCACCACAGGGTTGTTAGGCTTCCCCTGATGGCAGCTGTCCGTGTGGAGGCAGCTCGGTCTGTGTCAGGGCACATCTATCTGAGCCCATCAGAGGTTTTAGAGCTTACTTCAGTCTCTGCTCGATGGTGGGGTTATCTCTGCTGACCCAGCGAAGGGACCTGAAGTGCCCAGCTCAGCCAGGAACTGTGGGCACCGTGGGCACCGTGTCGCTGGAGACAGCGGGGTCCAAGTCCTGCTGCCCTAGGAGATGGGGTGGCTATGCCCACCTTACCATCGCATGAGCTTGTGCCCACAATTTTCTGGCTCCAGTGAGCATGATTCCTGGAGCAAAAGGGACACGGAGGATGGTCCATCCAGCAAGTCTGAGAGCACAGCTTTGTTTTAAAGACTGTGAGTGGCCCCCAGCCCCTTTCTCTAACAAGTCAAGCCATCTCTGTTCCCCAGGCTGCTCCCAGGTTTTTGTCCGTCTGTTTGTCCCGAGGGGCTGCAGCCAGCAAGGACACAACTCCATGCTTGGGCACCCAATGCAGGGTTGTCCTCTCGGGCTCTGCACATGCCAATGTCTTGCTCTGCCCCGCAAAACACAAAGGTCAAGTGATTCCTCCACCACACAGGTGGGGAAGAGCCAGAGCATCTCAGATTCAGAGCCACAAAACACAAAGGTCAAGTGATTCCCCCACCACACAGGTGGAGAAGAGCCAGAGCATCTCAGATTCAGAGCCACCGCAGAAAAGCCACTGGGGTGATAGGACCCAGGATGCCAAAACAGATCTGGTTTGCTGAGAGCAGCATGAGGTGCAAGTAGAGGAGACCTGGCCTGAGCTGGCGAGGCTGCAGAGGAAGCACCGAGCAGTTCGACAGACTGGGATGCCACTGCATTGGTTTGAGGTCCTGTAAAAAATGGGGCTATGCGTGGATGTGGGTCCCCTCATCTCTGTAGGGGAAAGTTTTGGAAGAGGCTTTCCACTGCTGCTGGGTGAGAGTGAAGCAGAACAAGCCACAGGATGGCTCCAGATGCTGGAATCAGAGGTTGCAGGGCTGAAATGCCGAGTGGGGCCATCAAGAGAAGCTCAAAAAAGGGAAGAGGGGCCGACAGGACCAAGGAGCAAGGCCTCGGCTGTTACCCCCTGACATAGATGTCAGACATCCTCTTTCCCACCAGGAAAACATCATCATCCAAAACCACCTCATCAATGTTCCAGATAATGACCCACAGCTCAAAGCTGGGCGGCCAGGCCAGGCACAAGCAGAGGGGTCGTGCAGCCGAGGAAGA